GAGAGCCCCCTGCTGGCGCCTCTTGAAACATGAACTAAATACACACCACTGCCACTTCCCACTATTGGAAACTACGTTTACTACCACTCACTCATATTTCTACGACCACCCCCCAAACTAAGACTCACTTCTTCTATTACTTCCAAGACTCACTTCTATTACTTCTACTCACGACGATTCCTTTGTACTACCAGTACTACTACTGCTACTAATGCCTCCTCCTACTACACTTACTCCTTCCAGTACTATTCAATGTAGTAGTATAAGTTATTGTTATAGTTTAAGTGGTTGCAATTTTTTTTTTTGTTTCTTTCCAGTACTATTCAATGTAGTAGTATAAGTTATTGTCAATAGTTTAAGTGGTTGCAATTTTTTTTTTCGTCTCTGCTCCAACACACTCGGGTGTCAACCAGACCAGAAGCAATCACAACATATGACTCCAATCCCAAAGGCGTGGCTCCAAATAGACTGCAGAATAGATTTTAAAATTGTGCTTGTGGTTTATAAATCGCTGAATGATTTCGGTCCTTATTACATTAAAGAAATGCTAATCTAGTTGAAACCCAATAGGGCTCTGAGGTCTGCGAACTTGGGGTCAATGAATCGAGCTCAGAGTTCAAAGCAAACATGGTGAAGTAGCATTTAGCTGTTATACTGCACGCAAATGGACTAGGATGCCAAAAGAAATTAAGTCAACTCCAAAGGTGAATTCTTTTAAATCCAGGTGAACCACCCCCCCCCAACACACACACAACCCGTCATCTATGATTAAGCACTTTCAAAGCATTTTTAAAATCAAGTTCGCCAAAATCATGTTCTTAAACTGTACATTCTGTTAGTAATTTTACGAAGCTACTTTGATTCCTTTCCTTTTAAATGTCTACTTTGTTTACGAATGCTTTTACACATTTTACCTTTAATTATGTGAAGCACATTGAGTTAGCTTGTATATGAAAAGCGCTGAACAACTCAAGCTGCATTGCCTTGGGGTTATACCAGTTGCAGTACAGTAGTACTGGTAGTAGTAAAAATAGTAGTACTAAAAGTAGCGTTTTTTGTAAAAGAAGTAATATTAGGTGTAGTTTTACAAAAGCTGGAGCAGGCCTGTGGTAAGTAAACAAACTGAGTCTGGATCGATGCCAGCTGCTTGGGGGCAAAGAAAGACGCATCAGTGACAGACGGCGAAAGGCGCCGAGGAAACCACAAGCTGTTTTCTGGCTCGCAGTTTACACTTGATTCCAGCACACTACACGACAGCTGTCATAGCAATGACAAAGCTGCTTTGTTTTCTTGCTGTACCTGCTACGCCATGACGACTGCAGTCAACAGGACTTTGGTGTGGCCCACTGAGATGCGGTCTTCCAGCTCAATGGTCTAGAAACTTACGTAGTGGTTTAGATGAAAGGTACGGTATGGAGCAATCCGAAAACATTTTCATTGAAAACCTGCAACATGCCAAGCACCGCCGCGACTTCTTTCGGCGGGCTCGGCCATACAGAGGGGAACTTCCCACAGTGGCAGGTGAGATTAGCATTTCTTGCAACAGATTAGCGTGGAGCTGTGTCCAACTTGTCTGAGAACGAGAACCGGTAAAGCAGACCTCACCAATCGCATGGATATTGTCAAGCTACCTTGGAAGATGGCTGAGAATTGGAAACCGGTCGGTTGGGCCTACCTGTGCCGTATGGTGTTTGATGCCATTTGTTCAGCCCAAAAAGTAGCTTCATGACTTTTGCATTAATACAGCTAAAATGCTTCAATAAAAAGGAAGCAAGGCGGATACAAATTGTCAGCATACAGCCTGGACGATTACCTTAATTCACTTCAATCCTGCAGGGCTTCTCCTCTACCCGGACACCCCTGCCAAGATGGAGACCACCTCTCGAGAAGCTTTTTGTTTTAGGACCGTCCTGCCACGAGACAGTGGAAAAGATTGCATTTTCGTTCCAAATGCCCAGAACTCACGGCAAGAGACGCGCCATTCCCATCCGTTGTCCTCGAGACAAACAGGAAGTGCCAAGAGCAGACATCTAGAGGCAGATGAGCAAGCAGACATATGTGATGGAAACCAAGATGTGGAGATGCTGTCTCAGTACCAGAAGGACTTCCCGCCTCTGTCCTCCTGGCGCAGGAGGAGAACTCCAGCCATGCCGCAGCCGGACAACATTGGCATCAACCGGGCTTTCAGGTGAGGACTGTGGTCAAAAGTTAGGAGAGACTTGCCCATGCTTGTTCATTGGTGTCATCAAACTTTTTGATTGATACAGGATTGAGTTCGAGACGGTTCACAGGGAGACGTACCAGAATTGGCACAACCCTAATACTGGACGGGTCCGGTCTACCATCCCTGGTAGCACAAGTGGGACACTTCATTAGGTATGAAAATAATTAGAAAATTGAAATTCTCAATAAATATCATTTCACTACTAAAGTTTAATTTATCCGTGAGACAGCACGGCATGTATTATTATTATTATTGCAAAAGCAGTTACTGTACTCATTGCTCAATTGTCATCCCTGTGCTGCCACTAGGTGGCATATTGGCATCAAATATGTGCTGTGATGATGTGATACGTTTTCCAGACGAGACAATTTTCACGATGAGGTTTTAACATGGCGGTAACGACAACAAATGGAACTTTTTTTGGTTAGGTTACATAAAAATGTTGGGGGTGATGAGAAAAAAACAAAACACAAAATCCATGAAAAATAAATCCAGCTAGGCCAATAGAGCATTACAGAATTTAAAAAAAAAAAAAAAAGGCTGTCCATTTTTCTGAAAGTTTCATCTCCTGTCTCGGTGCCTGCTTCTGTCACGGTAGCGGCTGTCCTCCCTCCCCCTGCTCCCCCTCTCGTCCCTGTCTCGGTCCCGGTTATCTCGGCTGTCTCTGTTGTCCCGGTCTCGCCATTCGGATCTCTCCCACTCTCTGCGTCCACCACCCGGCCACTCCTGCTGCGAAGTTCCGGCGACGAGGTTGATGGGCTTCCGGAAGGGTCGATCCCTGCCGCCGAAGCGCAGCTGGCCGGACTCCTTCTTGCCCCCCAGCCCGCCGCCGAGCCGCCTGGGGATCCAGCCTGTGAGGGTTCGCTCCAGCTCGAAATCCACGAACAACTCCTGCTGGTCGACGACCAGCTTGTTGGCGTCCCGGCGGGCTCGCACCACGGCCCGCTCCTCCTTGTACTCGACGAAAGCGTAGCGTTTTGAGAAGCCCGTGACGACATCGCGAACCAGCCGGAGACGCTTAATGTCGCCGAATTTGGAGAAGACCTGGTGAAGTTTATCCTCGGTGGTTATTGGGTTGAGTCGCGCCACGAAGAGAGTGAGCAGCGGGTCTCCCACGACGCCTTTGTTGGGCTTGTAGCGGGCGCACATCGCCCTCCACACGGCCCGGTCGTGGGGCTCCACGTCGGTGCCGTCGATGCTCCCGGCTTTGAGCGGGTCGTACACCTTGGCGATGGGGCTCCACTCTGCCATGTCGTGTCTATTTCGATTTCTCGCGGGTCGTTACGCAGGAAACAATGTGAATCATCCGCGTAGATTTTTGGTTCCGCTTGAGCGTGCATCCACAAAAACAATCCGATGGGAAACAATTGGTCCAGCCGACTGTTCCTCCTATTAAAATGACCTTGCGCAATCCTTCAGAGGTAAATTTAGAGTTGCCGTTTAGCAATTGTTCCCAAGTATATTCCAATCTTACCATTGATACCTTCAACAATTCTATGTTAAGTATGGGAAAGGCATAAACCTTGAGATTGTTGCTTTGCTTGAAGAATGAAATGTATAAAATGTCGGAAATATATAATCATTTTGTATTTATTATATTGTATTTACCGTATGATGCATTTTAAATGTGTTTAAACGTAAAATTTATTTGGGTATCATCCTGGATGTGAAAATAAACCAAAGGCTTTACAAGATACTTCTTAACAAAGCCAAATGATTTAATTATCAGTAAAAACTGTGAAAAATATCTGTGCTCCACATTGTGTACTATTTACAACATCAGTATGCGATGCTCACCACTATGTACAGGCCGCATTAACAGTCTTGTTGTGTCTACATATCCTCCACACTCCATTTATAGGCTTCTTCCTGCAGTGCTTTTTTGTCGGCAATCCTCGTGTAGCGCTTCTGCTCAAAACCGTTGGACCTGCCCAACACATATAAAGAATATTCAGTCACAACTCACTGCGTGAACTGATAAGAACAATCGCCGCAATCTCTGGTGTGCTCATGTTGGGGACAGTATAATATGTATATGGCATAGACATGCCGATATACATGAAGACGGTCAAACCTGCTGAGCAAGCTACAGTCATGTTTTTTTTGTAGCTGATCACGAATATGTCTTGAGTATTGTCATATTGCTTTTTTAAATGTGGCACTACACCATCATGTTCACTATCTGTCAAACTGCTGCGGTATTGTCATATTGCTTTTTTAAATGTGGCACTACATCATGTTCACTATCTGTCAAACTGCTGCCTATGTTTCACACATTGTACCTGTTGACGCCATCCCAGCGATATCCTGGTAAAATGTTGAACCTGTTGAGAGGTGGTGGAGGGCCTCTATACCGAGGTTTTTCTAACACAAAAAAAAAATCAAAATGATTTAAAAAATCATGTAGGGTGAAAATACCATTTAAAAATCTCTGCCCTCTATACCGAGGTTTTTCTAACACAAAAAAAAAAATCAAAATGATTTAAAAAAAACATGTCTGGTGAAAATACCATTAAAAAATCTCTGGAGCCGGTTCGTTCACATTAGTTAGATTTCTTTTACACTTTACAATATAATGTTTCAGACTCAGGTTTTAAACCAGGGAGAGGATTTAAAGATTGAATTAGGCTGTCAAAAGCAGGGTTCCAGATTGGTTAAGCTAGAGTTTCGGCATTGGGTACGGCAGAGCTTAAAACAAGGGCTGTGATCACACATCAGGGTTTCAAGCCAAGGCTTGGGTTTTAAGACGGTATGGATTCAAAGAAGGGTTTGAAACCATTAGGGTTTCAAACAAAGCTCAAATTTGCACGGGGCTTTCAAATTGGGGTTTTGAGGGTTCAGGGTTTCGAACAAGTGTTCAGGTTTCAAATGAGGGTTCCCAACCCACTCACTCACCCTTTTCCCCACTGAGCATATTTTTCATCCTTTGCTGCTTTTTCTCCGGCTTTCCTTTTCTGTTCTTCCCGCTCGGACTCCAGATCTCGCTTTTTGCCACCCTTGTCTCGAAACACCGTCTGAGCGTGGCGGGATGCATCTGGGGACACGTGTGTGTGTGTGTATACATCATGTCATCAGCATACAGTTGTTTTTTTTTCGTAACTAACAACTAATGAATAATACTGACTTTCGAGATCCTTGTTGTTCCCGTCCCTGCGTCGAGCCTCTTCTTTCTCCTTGCGTAGAACATCCGAGGAAACCAGACCCGCCTTTCCGCCAGAGAGCATACTATTGCCCTGGCAACAACAACAACACTTCAAAATGGCTGCCACGGAACTAGACACAAAATACTTCATCACAGTGAGGGAAAGTGATTGTCGGTTCTACCCCTGATGACAAACTGAATGTTTCACCTCTGCTTGTCCCGTCCTGCGAGGAGGCGACAGGTCATCATCTGACACATTACGGCCGCGCCTCCCCCTTCTGGGCGGCGACTGGTCCGAGTCGGAATCCCGTCTTCCCTTCTGCTGCTTCTTCCTCGGCGGTGACTGGTCGGAATCTGAACCTTGTCTAGTTACCGGTGCGCTTTGTGCTTTTCCCGACTTCCCTGAATGCTGCCTTGGTGGCAACATATTGGGAGAGTCGTGGCGTTTTTTCCTTGGCGGCGACATGTCAGGAGAATCGTGGCGTTTTTTCCTTGGTGGCGACATGTCTGGAGAGTCGTGGCGTTTTTTCCTTGGCGGCGACATGTCAGGAGAGTCGTGGCGGTTTTTCCTTGGTGGCGACATGTCGGGAGAGTCATGGCGAACTCTCCTCAGTGGAGAAGCGTCAGGAGAGTCGTGTCGGCTTTTTCCGCCCAACGACCGCTCAGGTAAGTCTCCTGATTGAATGGTGTCCTCTTTATTTTCATCTTCTATAAAGTAACAAAAGTCTCACATTGTATACATACACAAAAATGTGTATTTTCCCCTGTGAAACAAAATGGCTGACCTCCAATGACTTTCCACCTGGAGCTGCTCCGGAAGATTTCCAGCATCCTCACGTCGTCAGGGCGCTCATCAATCACTTCTGCGATCTGATTGGTGGACAACAACAGGTGGGTGGGTCATTTTAAATGTTCATAACATTGATATGAAAGATATCGGTCAATGCCAGTGGAATGGCACCAATACTTTCATCAAAAAACAATAAATTATTTCTTTCAAGTCAAGGCTTCTAATGTGTTATTTACACTGGTCATTGTATTTTTTTCTTTCAAAGCCAATAAAAGAATTGTAATGAAGTGGACTTTTTCATTAAATTTGATTGTAATTTATGGTTCGAAATTAAGGTTTCAAGACAGCGTTGGAGTTTGAACTAATTGTAGCAAGGCAATTTTAGGTTTCCCTGCCTGGTTTTAAGGCTTCACGTTGGTGTTTCGATATATAAGGTCATTTCTTTTCTTTCAATAGTTGAATGCTGTGAAAAGTATTGCCTCTATTTTTACACAAACAACGATCGGGCGTGTCAAATCAACCTGTCTTCTTACCACGGGCGCTTCATCGTCGTCCTCTTCCACCTCATTTTCCTCTGCCACCGTCTGTCTCCAATCCACATCATCGTCGACTATTTTAAGTCTAGAATAAGAAACAGAGAAACACAAAATGACTTAGAAACCGCCCTATCTCATTCACAGATAAAAGTGTGACGTGATGCATAGCTAACGAATGGTAGCAACAAGCTGCTAACTACATACACATACTCAACCGAAGAGAAACAGCTCGACGTAAAAACTCACCCTTTCCCCGGAACTTTTCGGCGCTTCTTTTTAAGTTTTCCCTTAGACTTTTTGGCGTCATCGTCGTTGGACAAATAGCGCTTTAGGTATTCTGCTTTGGATAATTCTGCTCCTTTGATGCTAGTATTGGAGGCAGCCATTTTGATATAGGGCAATTACGGAAAGTGCGGAGTGTCAAAAAGTAAACATCCCACTGCTGCGCGGGCAAGTGACTGAATGTAGAAACCGTAAAACCTTACGTGTTTTTACGGTGATTATAATAATTATTATTTTAGTCTGACATAGATGTTGTTTTTGAGCATCGACTCAGAAATGGATTATTTTAGTTTTTTTATATATTGGCCAGCCGATGGAGCCATCTTGACGTGGGGCATTTACGGAAATTGCGACGTGTCAAAGACCTGTTCCACTTTAAATTATGAAGTTGAGGTCACTGGAATATGCTGTCATTAATTAAATCGTTAAAATACCATTTTTAAATAGATTTTCTGATTACCAATTTCAATCAATGTAATTGGTAATTTCATTTCGTATTACATAACGGTGTGGAATGGATTGGTTATCTGTCAATAACCGAAATAAGGTCAATAAATTGGTTTTTAAATAAATAAAAAGTTCAGTGTATTTTTAACACTGAAATTAAATTAAGAGATGATGTACTCCCCCCCCCACCCCCCACGCTTGAAAGATGAACTTACTGTATTTACATTTGGCACCGAAACTATCTTATACATCGCAATGTCATTAATAGGTCACACTTTTGTCATTTTTGTGACTTTATTAACTAGAGTTGAAACAATCAGTACATCTTTCGAGCATATGTTCCCATAGCAACTCTGTAGCACTAAAGTACAACTACACAAATACACTAAAAAGAACAATCACTGGAGAACATGTCAATAGTATGGATTCTCTCTTGCCGATGAATCTGAGACGCATGCAAAGTGGTACAGTATTTTTACATGGAGCTTTGCGGTTGTGAAAAGATGCTTTCGGTGTGTGGTAACAGCGTTCAAAGTTAAATACACCTTAACTGGACTCAGCAAATGTACTGCACTGTATTCAAGTCTAACCATAGCAATATTCTCCACAGTTTGAACATTTAATGCAGAGCTTCTTTGGCGTTACCATTAGAGGTAGCCCACGTGCAACATTTCACAATCATTTTAGAGCATTACATGCAATGGTATAAAAGCAGGATGGCGACAATCCAGGAGTTCTGCAGAAACACGCTGACGGCACCACATGGGATGAGATGATCTGCAGAAGAAGACAAAAGTGAAGAAATATGACTCCGAATGTCCTCCCTCCCTGCACTCACCTCTCTCCACATTCACGCTGGCTCCCTCCCCGGTGATCTTGCACATGTACGTGGTGTTGTGCGGCAGCTTGTCTCGGTAGCCGCTCAACGTCAGTCTGTAGCCATGTGGCTCCACCTCCGTCACACGGCTCACTTGCCGGAACTCAGCCTCCGCTGCCAGGCCTGACACATTGGAGTTGATGAGGGATTGCTTGGAGCCTGATGACCAGGAGAACTCATAGCTGTTGATCTTATTGGGCTTGCCCTTAACCAGGCAGTCCACTCGCAGGTCCCCGTCGTCTTCACGGCACACTGTGATGAGGTCGCACCGCGCCGGCGTCAGCAGCACTAGTTTAGAAGGGAAAAAAAAATGCACTTGAATCATGTGGACACTGCTGTGTAACATTTTCCTCACCTCCTAGCATGCCATACACAAACAGATGCTGGAGCATGGTGGAAAGCGCCCATCCAACTGGAAAACAAACCCCAAAAAATCATGGCAAATCATCAACATGACCACAAAACCGACACCGTGCTTCCAATGTAAAATTTTGGGGGGGTAACGTTTACTTTCCGACACATTAAAACATACATCAACTTTCATGCAAAACATGAAGCAGCAGTTTTTTTAATGAACTAGATTAAATGTTATAATCAAATCAAATTCATATCAAGAAACTACCCATTCTTTACCTTTTCCAATCTCCCTTATTTCCTCTTACAAGAGTCAAATGTACCATTTTGGGGGAGTTCTCTTACCTGTGCTTCGGTGCAGGATGATGAAGCAAATCTCAGCACTGCAGAGCAAAACACCGGATGGGAAGGGAGGCAGCTGGGAGGGGGCGGCCGTAAATAGAGCAAGAGAGAGGATTGAGGCTGAATGGGTGGATGCCTGATGATGGGCACTTGATCCAAAAAAAAAAATACTCGTCGTCACTATTGTTTTACCAGCACTGCTCTATTTTTAACCTTGTACGTGGAGCTGGATAACAACAACCTCGCCTCGCCATTAATACCAATTAGTCTGTTGTCACATTTCCACAATATAGTCGAAACTATTTTGGTACAAATGCTGCGTCACCAGCGTGTCTTGGAGATACGACCGTGTAAAAGTAGGTAATGTGCGTTTTTATTTTTTGTTTTCAAGCACAAAATAATACAAAATTCATAATTACAAAATAATAACATGGAATAGAAAAACAATCGGCGTCTGTCGCCAAACTGTTAAGCGTCCGACTTTATAAAAACTCCGGTTGAAGTAGATGTGAAGACCGTGAATAGGGCAAATGTGAAAAGAGAATAAAAATGAAATGTTATTCTGGAGAGCATAGCGAAGCATGCGCAAGGTGGACGGTTAGCAAGGAATCAAGAGCGCTGTTAAACCATGAAGTAGCCACTCTCAAAACGTCGAACCAGAAGCGGACAAATCCGGTATTTTCGTGACCAATAATTCCACCACAGTAGGGGGGTTCTACGGCCTTAATCACGTAAAAATAGTTCAATATAAAACTGAGCGTATATTACGTGTCCCTAAAAGTTAAAAAAAAAAACTATCGATCGGCCCTCTGATCGTTTGAATCGGATGTGATCAGATGAAACGGGTCGGGTACGGCTCTCGAAGAACCGGAGTGCCCTAACCCCGCACTAAAAGGAAGACAGAACGTCAGAGTGCAACGATTTATCATAAATATAAAACTTTATTTGCATTGGTGGAGTGACAGCGTTATCTTTTTTTCAACATTTCTTTATTTGCTTTAATTCGGTCACTACATAGTCCAACCATGAATTTAAAAAAATAATAATCAAAAAAAAGCAAAAGCTTACTTAAAGCTGAGACATACAGTATATTCACTGGAAAATGTGTGGTAGACGCGACATTATGTACAGCGGCTTAGCAGGTAGTTGAGCGTGGTTCACTTGTCTTGCATTTTTTCCAAGATGGGCATGATCATATCAAACTTGGGCCTCTTGGCGGGGTCTTCGTTCATGCACAGCTTCATCAGCTTGCAGATGTGAGGCGAGATCCCCGGCGGGATGGTTGGGCGCAGGCCCTCCAGAGCCACCTGAGAAGAGGCTGCCACGGTTACCGCATGTATGGCAAACAGCTAATTTTTTTTTGGGGGGGGGGGGCATAAACATGCTTGCCTTCATGCCAATTTCCATGGGAGAGAGATGGGCGAAGGGCACCTCCCTGGTGACCAGCTCCCACAGGAGCACGGCGAAGCTCCACATGTCGGCCGATCTCCTGTTGATGTCTTCCGAGCGCTTCTGGAGGGCTGAAATGTCACAAGATGGGTGTTGAAATTGAAATGTCTTGACTACGGGAAGGTTGTATTATGTTGGGAGAGAAAGCTCACACTACCTTCTGGGGCCATCCAGGCCGGAGAGTACATGCGTCCGGCACACTGGAAAGAGAACTTGGCGTCCGCCATGCTTATCCTAGCCGTCATGTCCTCGTCAATCTGCCATGCAGTTGACAAGCACATCGGCATGAAATTTTTACAGTGATTGAGACGTCGCCGTAGTAGTGTTTATTAATGCAGGCTCCCTAAATCCACATCCGAGAAGATGAAACATAAAAAAAATTTTTTTTTCTGGTCAGGTGGTTCCAGACAATTGCAGACATTAAATACTGTATAGTAATGTTAGCGGAATAGAAAATTTAATTTTAATGTAATTACTTGGTTCAACGTCATTTAATTAAGTTAGGTGAACTCACGTTTCGTGTTCTGAGAAGATGTTATGAATTGTAATTAGTTAACAAAATCCAAGTGCGAGGGAGCTGAAGTATAAGCCAGACTTGGGCGCCTCACCATGACATGTCTACTGTTGAGGTACAGCCGTGGCACTAATGGCTCCAGAGTGTGGAGGAAGGTCATGGCACTGGCGACATCCAGCGCAAACTTGACCGCTTGGCTTTGGTCCACCACCAGAGCTGAAGAGCACACAGGAAAGATGCACGCCTACTCTTTGTTTTACTTAGCCCGCACGTGCCGAAGAGGAGCGAGACTCACTGGTGCCCTGGTGGAGAAGGTTGTAGAGAGATCCATACGGCATGTAAGGGGTGATGATGATGGGGTGAGGTGCCGGGGGGGATTGACACGCTCCCAGAACTGGGAGGATGTTGGGGTGAGAAAAGATCCTGCACAACAGCATAGCAACCCATAATCAACACTACTCAGTGTATTTTTAAATATAAAAAAAAAAAAATAAAGGACCTTTTTGTTCCTTTTGGCCCACCGTACCATGCCTCTGTTCCAGCCCATGCGGTGATTTACATTACAACTTCAACTGCTATATTTGTACGCACGCCAGTTTTGTTCGCATTCTGATGACTACGGTTGCGACGATTGTTTGTTGTTTTCCACTTTAAAAATTTTGAATACGGCACCTTCATCGAGTGAGTGCAACTGAATAATTTACCGGAGCTTGGGATGCTCCTCGCTGAAGTCTCTGCTCTTCCTGGTGCTCCACTCCCTCACCTGCAGCACCTTCACCACCACCTCGTCCCCCTGCCAGCGACAAAAAAAACTCTGACACACACACACACACACACACGCGCGCGCGCGCGCGCACACGCGCGCACACACACACACACACACACACACGGATATAGAGATACTTTAAATCAATGCCCATGGACATTTTACACACAACGGTGAGGTCAAGGGGAGTGGGGGGGGGGGGTGTGGAGCGGTAGGTCGACACACAAACCTCTCCTGAGTGGTTTTCATTGATTTTGGCCAGCAGTGAAAGTTGTTTGTAATCAATGCCGGCCTGCTTGTTGAGAGTGCCGTTACCTGGAGGCAAAAAAATAAAAATAGACGAGAAGTTACGAATGACGACAAACAGCGCACATATTCGTTGTGTGCTGACTGACGAGGCCTGGTCCTCATGGTGCCCTTCCAGAAGGTTTCCTTGTAGGGAATTTTGATCAAACTCTGTCCCAGTTTTTCTGCCTTCTCTGAATCAATCGAACAGAGTAACAATGTGTCAATGCTGCCTTCAAATAATAATCATGCTAATAGTTTCACTATTTTCCACTCTGACCTTGGAGCAGTTGCCTGAGGTGAGGCTTGGCCTTATCGAGTGGCGTCTGTCCGTACCTGTTGCACACACACACCTGAGCGCCGCTCACCACCAGATCCTGAACACACATTCCGTTGGAGTGATTTCAGGCAAAAATATGTCATTATGTAGGTTCCATCCATAAGTTGGGGCATTTAACAGTGGAGATAAAAAAAAAAATGTAAAAGTCAAATTCGATTTTTATTGTCACAAACCAAAGTGTTGTTGTCATTTTTTCTCCAGCAGGGGGGGGGGGTGCACACTTTGTATCAGTGGTGTACCTGTGCTACTGCCTCTTGCCCCCAGAAGCATGCGTAGTGCAGCGGCGTGTTCCCGTGCTCGTTGACCGTGTTGGGGTCCGCCTTGCACTGAATCAGCTGCGCACAACACAAAGACGATAATACACTCCGCGCTTATGACATCATCGAATTGGGCACGTGACGATGGCATACTTTGGCCACGATGTCGGTGTGGCCGTGGCTGGACGCCAGATGCAAAGGGGTGTCGTCGCCGCGGTTCATGACGTTGATGCGGGCGCCCCTCATGATGAGCATGTCCACTAGTCCACCGCGCCCCTCCCGGCATGCCCAGTGCAGCGGGCTGAAGCCGTGGTCGTCCCTGGCGACAGCAAAGCCTGTGTTACATGTCGAACATTTTCAACTCATGTATTGTTTAGCCCCTTTCACACAGACCTTTAAAGCTGGCTTCCCCCCCACAATTTTCTCATGTCGCTGTTCTGCGTGAAATGTAGCGACAGGAAATGTCCTAACATTTCCTGTCGCTACCTTTCACAAAGTCAAACCACAAATTTCTAAGCTTCTGATGGGGTCTGCGTGAAAGGGTATAGCGGAAAGCTGGGACATGAACACCTGACTCTCATTCCTCTCACTCTGTTGTGATGAAAGCAAATGTCACTGTGAGACAATTATTTTACATGTCCAACGTTAAGCCCCTTTCACACAGTCCGTTAAAGTCGGCTTCTTCCCAGATTTAACCCGTGTCATCCTTCTGTGTGAAAGGTACCAATACGAAGTTAAAATTTCCCGGCTCTTGACGTAATATTGGAGGTGGGATGGCAGTCTGTCTTAAAAGCATTCGCAGGTAACCAGGATTGGGGTGTGTAAAGTTTAACACTTCATACTCATTTCTCCTGCCCCATTGTGTTAAAAGCATATTTTACACATCTAGGGCAGTTGTTGCTGTCACACAACTATTTTGTTAATCACACCAGACGCTGGGTTCTGTGTGACATGTCACCTCTTTTGCACAGCCTGCCATGTTGTTGTGTGAAAGTGTGTACAGTCTGGGCAATATTCTGCCTTTGTTGGGTTCTGTATGAAGGGCGAAGTCGGATATTTTCCAGATCCGTTACCACTTGTGAAAGGGGCTCAATGCGACACCTCTGCAGAGTCTGAGTGAAAGGGGCTTCAATGGAAAATGCTGGAAAATCAAGAAGTTTCACACCCTCCTCTAAATTGTAGCCGTCTCTGAAAGCGCACAACATTGCTGCAATATTCGATTTGTTGGACTCTGCGTGAAAGGCAAACATTTTTTTTGTGTGTGTGTTAGCTGCTGTTCTTCACTCCTATCTTTATTTAGACTGCAGTGCACGCTTCCTCACGCTGCGGGTGGTCTGAGGCCCAACAGACGCCTGGCGCACTGATAAACACGTCAGTGAAAAAGGGGAATGCCTGTCAGTATTTTTCATGCACGATGGACAGCTGCCTTGCAGGCGGCTTGTTGGGGTTATCTCTCTCTCTCTCACACACACACACACACACACACACACACACACACACACACACACACACACACACACACACACACGCACACACACGCACACGCACACGGATTCATTTTAGTTGTTTATTTCTGTTGGCGGGAGCCATAATATCCAACAAATAGTTACATCAACATTATGTGTGTACTTTTTATTTAACTTTATAGATTATTTTCAGCCGTTGTTTTTATTTCTATCGTGCAAGGGGCCAGTCATTATGTGACCGAGACTGCTTTGGATTTTCCTTGACACTGTAAATACAGCGCAGCAATTTGGGAATCCCTGCCGTAAAGTGATGTCACGCTTGTGGCTTCCTGAGCTATAAAAGGAATCCAGGAGCAGCTGAAATATTCCCAAGCAGCTCATCATTGAGTGCATTCCAGATGCAGTGATGGAAAACGGTGACCAGTCCCTCCCCCTTTGGCCTGGCCCCGCCCACACAGGAAATGAGCGCTGTCAATATACATATATGGCCTGGCCCGGGAACGAGCTTCCTTTCAGGGAATGCTGCTATTATAATGACCTCTCGATTGTGTGGCGATGACATCATTAACATGCTCAATATGGAAACTATTTGATGGCTAGTGCGCGCGCACACACACACACACACACACACACACACACACACACACACACACACACACACACACACACACACACACGCGCGCCACTCTTTTTTTTTTCTCCCCAGTTTAGTTTTGTCCACTCACCCCAAATTAAGGTCATTTTCCGTGTTGTCCAACCACAGGCGAACGGCCACGGAGTTGCCCTCTCGACACAGTGTGAAGATGTCATCCATGTTTACAGTGGGCTGCTCCTTTAATTCCTTTTTGGCGTGTGAGATGTGCCGCCTGAAATGCGGTTAAAAATCAACCAAACAAGCACAGCCTGAAATGTGCACAAAGTGGTGACAAATCAAGAAATAAACGAAAGATGCAAAGCAATGAATTAAAGGAGCTTACCGTTACGGCTTTGCTTCCGTTTTCCCACCTAGTCTTTAAAAAGTTCTTCCCCATAAGCGGGGAAGCGTAGCGGGCGCGAGAGTTTGCCCCGCCCCGGGAGTCGTTCTCCAGCCGTCTGCGGTTGGATGGGCCGCTCTGGAATCGTGGAGCTTGGTTGCCCCCTGGTGTACAAATGGAACGGTGCCGTTTTCCATCCGCCCGTGACGTCACTATTATGATGTCGCACATACCCGAGCCAGCGAATGCAAATCTCCTTATATGGAGTTGTAATGAGAGATTTTTTTTTTTTTTTGATATGATTGTTCATATTCGGTCAAGTGGATTTAGTCTTTATTTTTTGATGTGACACAATACATGATTAAAATGAGCAAACAAGTTAATATAAACATGACAAGTAGTAGTTGAGCTGATAATACACTCCTAATATTTACACTCGTATTACTCCACTCGTAGGCAATGTTGCATTGGCTCTGTTTGCCTCATGATCAGACCGTCTTCCCCTCCTCCTCCTCCATCACCTCCTTCTTATGTCTTTCTGTCTCCTCCATTTGAGTTTCTCCTGCCGCTTCTCGTTTTTCACCTGCTCAGCTTCATTCTTCATCTCCTTTTCTCTCCATCTCACTCATCCTCATTCTTCAGCTCCTCTTCTTCCGTTTGCTTTTCATCCTCTTCACTCTTCTCTCTCTGTCGTCTCCTCCTCCACCTCCTCTCCGTGATTTTCCTCCACCACCTCCTGACGATAACTGTCCTTTCTGCTCCTCCGCCTCCCTCATTGTCATTCTCATTCTCATGTCCGCGATGTGTCTCCTTCCTCCTCATGCTTCTCCACCTCCTTCTCCTTCTCTTACTCATGATCACGTCTCTTCTCCTCCACCATCTCCTCTTTAACCAAGTTACTTTGTTCTTCACCTGCTCCTCTCATTTTGGTCCCCCTCCTTCCAAGTCCTTCTGTTCACCATTTCTCCTCTTCGAGCCTCGTCATTCTCCTCAACCATCTGGCTGGTCACCTTTGACCCCATGATCTCCTTGGAGTCTTTTTCTCCTCCTCTACCACCTGCTCCTCCTCGTCACGCCCGTCCGTCATCACGCACACTTCCCCGGTTCTCCTCCCGGCCACTCCGATCTTCCCGCCTGACAGGTCTCTGGGCTCCCCATCACTCGATTGGTCCTCCTCCTCATGGCAACCAAACTTCTCTTTGCTCGCTTCCTCCTCCTGGTGGTCATCCAGCGCCTCCTCATTGCTCTGTACCTCCTGCCCCTCATGACCACCCAGCGCCTCCCGTTCTCTCTCCTCGCCCTCATCCACCTTTCCACCCAAACCCTTCTCGCCGCCTCATTCCAACGGCTCACGGGCACCTCCTCGAGGTCGCTTTCCTTGTCGTGGTCGCCCATTGCTTTGGTGTTGCTTTGTCTTCCCATCGCTTCCTGAACGTAACTCTGGTCGACGTCCATCGCCTCGCCCTCGTCTTCCGCCGCCTCCGGGGCCTTCTCCCGATCCTTCTTGTCTGTGCCCTCCTCCTCCTCCTCCTTCCTCTTCTTCTTCTCTTGGCCACCGTCTTCCCCTTCCTCCTGACTGCTGTCCTCCTCGCTGCCACTGTCCCGCTCGCGATCACTTTCCTCCTCGCTGTCGCTCTCGTCGTCGTCGTCGTCCTCTTTGTCCGTCTCCTCCTCCTCCTCATTATCAGTGTCGTCGTCCGCGTCGTCGTCATCGTCGTCGCTGTCCTCCTCGTCATCGTCCCGGTCACTCTCCTCCTCGTTGTCACTTTCTTTCCCCTCCTCGCCATCGTCGCTCCCTTCCTCCTCCTCCCGGTTACTCTCTTCCTCGTTGTCATTCTCTTCCTTGGTCTCTTCCGCTTCGCCCGCCTCCCCCGCCTGGTTGCTCTCATCCCCGTCTGGGTCGTTTTCTTTCTCCTTGTCCTTTTTTTTCTCCTCCGGGCCACTCTCCTCCGGGTCACTCTTTTTCTCCTCCTCTTGCTGGTCCTCCTCATGGTAATTCATGTTCTCCTCCCGGGAGCTCGGTTCCTCCTCGTTTTGGTCACGGCGTTTCTTTTCCTTGTGGCACCTTCCCCCCTCGTCACGGTCTTTTTCCTCCTCAGCTTTCTCATGCTCCTTCGCGTGAGAACTCTCGTTTTCCTGTTCCTCATCTTGGTCCTTCTTTTCTTCCTCCTCGTCCAGGTCAGCCTTTTTTTTCTCGAGCTGCCCACAGTAGTTTTTCTCACAACACATTTTCTCCCCTTCCTCCTGGTCCTGCTTTTGATCACTCCTCCTATTCTCTTCCCTGATGCGGACAACCTCCTCCTCCTGCTCATTCATCTTCTCATCTTCATGATCACCTTCCTCCTCCTCCTTTTCCCGAGTGCTCATTTTCTCCTCTTCATGATTATTTTCTTTCTCCTCTCCCATCCACTCGGTCTCCTCCGTTTGGTCTTCCCGTTTCTCCAAATTGTGACGGATTCTCTTGTCCTCTTCCTCTTTTCTGCTGTCTTCTTCTTCATAACCGCTCCCCTTCTCCTCTTGTTTCTCCTCCTGGTCAACCATTTTGTCCTGCACAACATGAACAGACCCCTCCTCATTCTCTTCTTTTATCCAGTTATTCTCCGTCATCTTCATCCTCTTCTCCTCCTTGCAACTCACATTCTCCTCCTCCTCCTCCTCCTCTCCGCCTGCATGATCATCACCCTTCTCCTCCAGCTCCTCGTCTTGGTCAACCATTTTCTCCTCAACATCTTCAGTCCCTTTCCCCTCCCTCCACCCGCCAGCTTCCTCCTGCTGGTCGTTCCCTTTCTCAACCTCCTTCTGGTCGTTCATCTCCTCATCTCCGTGATCGCCCTCTTCCTCCTCGACCCAGTTTAGCTCCGCCTCTCGGACGGTCCTTCTTTGCTCCCCCTTCTCATAACTCCCGTCTTGCACCTTCTTCTGGGTCCTCTTCTCCTTCGCAGTGCTCTCATTGCTTTTGTTCTCCTCCTCCTGGCGGCTCCTCTTCTCCTCTTCACGATCGCCCGCTTTCTCTTCGGACTTTTTCTCCTCTTCATCATCATCATCACTCCTTCCCTCCTCCTCATCCTTCTGCTGTTCATTCGTCTCCTCCTCCTCTTCGCGACTACTCTCCTCATCCTCCCGCTCCTCCTCCTCATTCTGTTCAATGCGTTCCTCTTCCATCAGGCAGTCAAGATTCTCCTCTTGGTCATCGCATTTCTCCTCCTCGTGGTCTTCGAGAGAAGACTCTTTCTCCTCTCGTTTCTTCTTTTGGTTGACGCAGGAACTCGCTTGCTCCTCTTTCATCCAGTCGGTTTCCTCCTCTCGGTCGCTCCGTTTCTTCTCCACCTCAGAGTTGCCCTTTTCCTCCTCTTCATCGTCATCGCTGACTTTTGCCTCCTGCTGGTCACTTTTCTCCGCCTCCCTGTCATCACTTCTGTGGTCCTCCTCCATCCAGTCAATCTTCTCTTCCTGGTCAATCCTTTTCTGTTCTTCTTTTTTGCCGTTTTTTATCTCCTCGCCGTAGTCACTCCTTTTCTCCTCCTTCATCCAGTCAATCTCGTCCCGGTCGTTCCTTTCGTCCTCTTCCGGGTTGCTCTTTTTCGGCTTTTCGTGATCACCGCCTCCCTCCTGCGGGTTTCCATTTTTCTCTTCCTTCCCCCAGTCAATCTCCTCCTCCTCCTCCTCCTCCTCCTCATCATCCTTTTTATCTGCATTGCAACTCCTTATTTTCACGTCCTCCGGTGCATTCTTCTTCTTTTGGTCTTCAGGACTACTTTCCCTGTCCTCCCGCTCCTCCTTCATCTTCTCAATATGATCACCTGCTTTGTCCTCCGTCATCCAGTCAAACCCCGCCTCTCGGCTCGTCTCTTCGATGTATCTCCATTTGCCCTCCTGCTCATTCTTGTTCTCTCCGAAATAATCACCTCCTTCCTTCTTCTCCTGGTCGGCCCTTTTCTCCTCTTGGCTGCGATCCTTCCTTTCCTCTTCCTTGACCAAGTCACTCTCCTCCTCTTGGTCATTTCTTCTTTCCTTCTCCTGGTCTTTCTTTTCTTCTTCGCCATCACCCTGTTTTTCCTCCCACTCCCCTTCTTGTTCACCCTCCTCCTCATTATGTTCACTCCCTTTCTCTTCTTTCATCCAGTCCATGTCCTCATCTCGGCCATTTCTTATCTTCTCCTTGTCACTCTTTTCCTCCTCTTTATGATTTTTCTCTTGTGTCTTCTCCACTTGCTCCTCGACACTCCTTTTCTCCTGGAGATCACTTCCTTTCTCCTCCTCCTGCGGGTGGATTTCTATCTCACCCACTTCGTCATGACTACTCTCTTTCTTCGGCTCATCTTCCTGGTCACCTTGGTCCCCCTTCACCCGGTCAAGCTCCTCTTCTCTGTAATTTCTTTTCTCCTCCTCATTCATTTTCTCTTCATCTTCATGACGATTGGCCCGCTCGTTATTTTTCTTCTTTTTATCGTCATCGCTCTCTTTCTTCTCTGTCAACCAGCGAGTCTCCTCCTCTTTGTCGTTTGTTTTCTCTTCTTCCTCCTCGTCATTCTTTTCCTCCTCTCGTGGCTCCTCGACTTGCTCCCGATCATTCTTTTTCTGTTGCTGTTGCTCACTTCCTTTCACCTCCGTGTGTTGGTCGCTCCGTTTGTCCTCCACGTCATGGTTACTATCATTCTTCAGCTCCTCCTCCTGGTCACCCGTCTCCCCATTCACCTGCAAAATTTCCTGCTCCCGATCATTTCTTTTCTCCTCTGTCTGTTCCGTCTTCTCATTATGATGATTGGCCTCCTCCCGATCATCGATTGTCTTCCCTTCATTGTGATCACTCTCTGTCTTCTCCTTCAGACGGTCAGTCTGCTTCTCTTTGTCATTCCTTTTCTCCTCTTCATAATTCTCTTTTTTCTCCTCCCAGTCACTCTTTTTCTCTTCCTCGTTATGATAAGTCACATTCTTCTCCTCCTCCTGGTTGCTCTTTTTCTCCTCCTCCGCATGGTCACTCTCTATCTTGAACTGCTTCTCCTCCTCCCGGTCACTTTTTTCCGTATCTTCACGATCACACCCTTTCTCCTCCTTCACTCGGTCAATCTCTTCCTCTGGGTCAATCATTTTCTCCTCAGCTTCATGATCACGCCCTTTCTCCTCCTCCCGGTTGGTTTCCTCCTCTTGGTCACTTTGTTCCTCCTCATCGCAACTCCTTATTTCCTCTTTCTCCTGGTCAGACATCTCCTGGTTTCTTTTCTCCTCCTTTTCATCATCACTTTCTTTGTTCTCCACCACCTCCTGGTCATTCTGTTCCTCCTCCTCATTACGAACGCTCCCTTCCTCCTCTTCCGGCAAGTCGGTCTTTTCCTCTTGATCGTTCCATTTCTCCTCCTCCTCCTCCCGGTTGGTGTTTCTCACTTTGTTTTCACGGTCAGTCTCCATCTCCTCTTTGTGATGACAATCTGTCTCCTCGTTCAACCAGCTAATCTCCTCTTTCATTTTCTCACCTCCCTCCCGGTTGATTGTTTTCTCCTGTTCCTTGCGAGCTCCCTCTTTGTCCTCCTTCTGGTCCTTTTTCGTCTCCTCAACATGATCACTCTCATTCTCCTCTCCCATCGAGCGATCCTGCTCGTCCTCCACGTCGTAACCCTTTACTTCCTTCTCTTCCTGGTTAACCTCTTTGTCCTTCTCATTGTGATCGATGCTTTTCTCCTCCTCCACTTTGCAGTTGTTCTCGTCCTTCCCTCGGTTCCTCTCCTGCTCCGAGTCCTCCTTTCGCTTCATTTTCTTCTCCTTGACCCAGTCAATTTGCTCCCCTTGGAGATTCTCCCTTTCCTCGCTGTCGCTCTTTTTCTCCTCCTCATGATTACTCACTTTGTTCTCCTGATTGTCGTTGTCTTTCTCCTCCCCCTCCCGATTTCCTCGTTTCTCCATCTCGTCGCAATGTCTCTCATCTTCTTTTCTGTCTTCCACCTCCTCTTTGCCTCCTTTTAGGAAACCCTTTGCCTGTTTTCCAGACATCCCCGGCGCTTTTGAGTCTCTCAATCGAGTCTTGGAATTAACGCCGAATAGTTTACGTTGCGTCTCCTCCACACATGTCAGGCAGAAATCCAGCCAGCCGTCACGGATGCAAAGCACGTGATGTCGGCGATTTCCCACCCGGTAAATCTCCCGGAAGTGTTGCAGTTGCAGATTCGACAGGCAGGAGCGTATTGGCAGCTTAATTTTACTCTCCATTTGGCATGACTCTGCGTCACACTGTTGCCCGCCGTAACGAGACTTCTTCGTCTTCTTTGACGCGATCGGGTCACCGCATTGCTTCCTGATGAGTTGTATTTTTTTTCTCTCTCTCTCTCTCTCTCTGATCCGGACAAATTCCAGACTTTCCTGCCTTTGTCGATGGCAACTTTCCTATCTCATAAAGGCCGACAGGGCTATGATGTTTGGCGATGATCATTATGTCGTGGGAGTAAACAAGCAGTTGTCAACAATGATATGTTCACAAAGCAACGTAACTGAACCGGAGCTGATCGTTGTGTAATATTTTTTGAGTGGAGACTTGATGTGGCTCATTGAGGTTGTTTTGAACACACCCTGTTCCAAGTAAGCCCTTGCATATTTGTGATGGCGATGAGGCCACTCCATGTTTCGTATAAGTCAGTCAAAAGACGTCATGGACTAGATTGCCAATCGGTGCTAATTCAGCTTCCTTCCTAGGTCATGTTTGTCCTCTTAACAAGTTGATGTATGTGTGAGTGGCTTCTGTGAATAATGGCACCGGTTGACTCCAAACAGGCTCAAAGCCAGCAGAGGATCCATACAGAGGCCACCGCTAGCTAGCTATTGATTAGCTGTCGGTCCGCGAGGGCTGGATTTGCACATTACTCTGTTCCACCAAACCTATTTGTTACTTGCTGAAGAGGAGGGTTGCAACAACAAAAATTAAGCCCAAAAGCGGGTCTGCGTCAAGGCTAAGAAGTCCAAATATAGCGACACACGACACTATTCCACATTGTTTCGTTTGTCTATTAAGGGTGTACACGAGCACAGTCGCAACCTCATCCGACACACATTGAAGTTTGAGTTTACAACGCTGTAGGATCTGGTTCGCATCTAAATTCAGATCACGTGTGGGGAAAGTATCTTGGGAGAATATCTCTACGCAATAGAGTAGACACAAGCATGTGAAGATGTTAAACATGATTTCCCCTGTTGAATTGACGCGCAGCCTGGATCAGGCCTAATTTCAGAGCAGGTGGGAAATACCTTGCAACTATATTCCTTCTTAATATTGGATATGTTAATTAGAATTTAATTAAGAAGTAGCATTGTTGCTACTCGAGCAATCTAGAATGGATCTGGATTAAGGGCACTTAGACGTAAAATACCTTCGACTTGTATAGACCTGTCCAGATTTGAAGATGTTGAAAAGGCTTATCCCTGTTTACATTTTTGCGATTTGGCCACTCTGGATAGGATCCAGATTCACAAAATTTGTAGGAAAGCTAGCTCGGAGTAATATGTAGAAATCTAATACAATAGCCTTATAAGCATGTAACAGTGTGAAATAGAATTTTTCCATGTTGAGCTTACAAGGGCCAAATGCGCGATCGGGTTTGGATCCAGATTCAGGTGTTAATTTAAATAGGATGTTCCCAGTTGGAATACAGTTCTTGCCACCAGGGTCTTCTCAATTTAGACTGACTTGACTTGTTGCATATTTTTGCACGACTGAATGTGTTCATGTAAAATGTTTCCAATTTGGTTTTGATTTAATATACCTTTTTTTCACACCAACCTTCCCGCTGAGGACTGAATTGTTAACAATTCCTTCAACGTTCAACATTTTTCCTTTGAGTAGCAACACGTTTTGAAACATAAAAACATCCCTGTTCCAAATGAAAAAGACACAAATAATAACCTGCGGAAAACCTTTTGTTGTGCTTGCAGCGACGCGTTGAGGCGCCCGTGTTGGCTGAAAGTCTTCGTAAGGTGTCGCGCTCCCCGTAACCTGAACACAAAAACATCTCGATGTGTTTATTGAACCACACAAAGACGACACAACAACAACAACAACAACAACAAAAGCAATCGCAGTGAGCGCTGACCTGCGATGTTCCCGCAGATGGGATTTTCTGTGTGGTGGGTCGGCGTCGTCTCGCCGCTCGGGTCGATGGGACTCGACAAAATGGCGCCCCACTTCCTCTGATGGCCTTCGGACAACAAAGAAAAGCAGCGAGATTCAGCCGTTGTTGTTGAAGCAAGAACTGAAACGTATTAGTGATCTGCTGCGTGACTGCGTATGCAACGGCAGGCCTTCCGCGTGGGCAGAAAAAGGGCATAATGAAGATGTCGGGGCGCACCTCACCAAAGGGCTACATGTTTTTCGCACGCCTGCGCACAAAGGCGGCCGCTGCGTGACGCAACGGGCGGCGTTGACCCACGACGACATCGACAAAGCCGCAAGCAATTTCAAGGAAGACAAAGAATGAAAACTCGTCACAACTTGATAATAGCTCTCTTATGGCAGGAGGACAACAAAAACGTTCTTGTGCGCGTCACACAACATCGACGTGACCAGTGTGGCAAATCGACAGTGTTTGTACCATCGCAGCAACTACAACCGTAACTGTTTCTGCAACAAAGACAAAGCAATTGTACTAAAAACACGCAATAACAAAAGTTTGCAGGATGACAAAACCAACAAATGGCCAATCCACCAGCAATGCTGACTTTTCATAGGTGATCATTGAACAAATCTACTTTTTTATTGTCGTTTTGGTTTCATTGCTGTTATTCCAAATCCTGGGAAACCCTAACCATGGCTTGTTAGGTCAAACCTTTTTGAAGCCTGGACTTGAAACCGTATTCCTGGGCTTCAAAGCCTACTTTGAAACCCTAAACGGGGTTCAAAAACCTAACCTGAAACAGCAAGTCTTGTCTTAAAACTTGAATTTGAAACCGTACCCCTTGCTGAAAACCCAGTTTTAAACTCAAACCCTGACTTGGCACAGCCCTTTGAATTGCAGATGTGCCTAATGAAGTGCCCAGTGGAGAAAGGTTGAATTTATTCTAACCCGAGCGTATTTTTAAAAGTCGAAGCATCACTCGTGTTGCGTGTATGCATGTGTGCGGTTTGGAAGAATGCTGTTGGCAAAAGATTGGCTTCGCACCAGCAGGGGGCAGATAACCTACACTTGCGAAATGCACAATGTCACTTGATTTCAAGCCTGTAATGAATGACATTCCTGAAACGGCCGTCTGCCGCTTGTCCTCACGCATCCAGTCGTGCGTGAGCTAACGGCTTTCTTATGATACATATTGTTAGGAACTAACAACATTCTCCACCCCCCGGCCCCCCCAACCCCCTCAAATTAATGTTGTGCCGCTCGTGAAGTGGGTGTGATGCAACTCACAGCAACGTTGCACCAAACATATTTATTCATGTCTTGACTGACTTTCATGTCCCATTGAAAAAGAAAATAAAACAAGAACGCGTTTATTTATTTTGTTGAATGAATTCAGTTGAGAAGGTGACCTTTTTTTAATATATATTTGTTTCATTTGTAACACACTTTACATTTCGAAACGCATCTCAAAGTGCACAGTACAGGCAAGAGTAAAAAGCTTTTTTTTTTTTTCTTTAAGGGGAAGTCAACCGCAAAACTTTCCACGAGTCTCAAGGACAGCATTCTAATTAATCTTGCCTTTGTGGAATTTGAGTTACGCGGCAGAATCCACCCGTTTTTGTAGGTGTTGAATCGACATTGTGCACTTAGACTGGCATTCTAAAAAACAAAACTCAATTAGAACGGGCATCGAATTTTCATGTTGACATTTGTTGCCTCGGGAGTCCCCTGACAGTTTTGAGTTCATTGAAAAAAAACAACGAAGAGCAGCAGCTGACCACCTCGGGCTACGACTCCTCAATTCCTCCTTTTCTATTGCCGATGCCCGTTGCTGATGAATCGGGTCCGCCGAGACCCAGAATTACCCGGAAGCGCCGATTTTGATATTTTTATTGTTTGGACTGTGTTCCCTCGGGAGTAGTTTAATAAGGTGGAATACATTTATGAAGGTGGATTATTCCATCAAGGGGACATTTGTACCAAAGGACCTCTTAAGCTCTGCTGCTTTTATTAATTAGCCTGGGAGGAAATGGAAAGCGGTTGTAGAGAAATGAGCTGCCGTGCGGATTAATACAATTATTACTCAACCACCGCCATCGACTCGAACTTATGCAAAATAATATACTGCATAAATGTCATTCGTGGCTTATACTGTGCGTACGTTCATGACTACACTGTAAAAAAAAAAAATGAAGTTGAGTGAACTTAAAATTTCAAGGCAACAAACTTTTATAAAATTTTAAGTTGTGCAGTTCAACAAAATGTTATGTTTTGCTAATGAAATTCCATAAATGTCAATAATTAGTATTTTAGAATTGTTCAATCTTACTGTGAGGCAGCTAATATCATTCCCCAGTGCTAAATCATGTTTCCCGCTACCGTTCACGTCTGTGGGTTAGCATGCGTGCGAAAAGTTAGCGCGAGAAGCTTGACCTACTTGTGTGCTGTTCTTCAACATGTTTTTCGACCACCCCGACTTAATGGAGACGAGTTTTGTTCCGCCGCGTCAGTTTGCGCTCGGTGTTAGCTTTGTGCTGATTAGCTGTTGATGTGTCCTACTTTGTGTTTGCCATGTAGCCGCGTTAGCACTAGCATGCGCAGTGTGTGTGAGAAGGTGGCTGGGTTTTCACTTCAAGTTTTTTTTATACATTGTTGCCATTTAAAAATTTGGGGGCGTGAAAATGGAACGTGACTTTTTCAAGCAGCCATATTGTTCCACATTGACAACAATGGAAATACAATTTTTAAAAAGGAACTTCTCAACGTAAGTCGATAACACCACCTTGGTGAAGGTCAATAAAACCTCTGTGATGTCAATGAAAAGTTTTCAGTTTCAGTTTCAGAAAACTTTATTTATCCCCGTGGGGCAATTAGAGTATTCACAGCAGCAAAGAAGCCGCTGGAAAGGCAGCCACTCTCGCGGCGTCATCCTGAAGTCAAAATAACAAAAATAACACGACACACAGGACACAGACAGTTGTGCAATCTTCAAAAAAAAGTGGGCATTGTTATCCCTCCAAAGGCGGGCTTCATTCATGTATGGACTCGTCAGATTGCGAACGGAGACCACACGTACAGTGACATCAAATGGCTTTTATTCAAAAATCCTTGAAACAGCCGTCCTCTCACCACACAATTCCATCTTTCTGTCTTTGTCGTTTGTGGCGTTTGCGGCGAGCGACCAAGTCGTTAACGCCGGGCACGCACGCGCGCACGCAGCACCCGGATCGCAAGGTCAAGGGCGATTACGCGCGTCGCCGGGGATTCTTCAGCCCACATCGCGGCCCGCGTTACGTAACGCAAACAAAGCAGCATCCATCATGCCATGTATGTTTTCATGTGTGTGCATACGGTCTCTTTGTATTGACCATTCCAGTTTAGTTGAAACAACGACAACGTTGTGTTCAGACCCCGGCGTGGAAAAACGTCTCTTCTACCCGGACTCTCTCGTGTGGAAGCCGACCTAAAACAGAGAAGGGGGTCGGGGAAAAAAAATTCTCCCCGTGACGTGAGGGCAAAGCAAAGTTAGTGCGGGGAAAAAAAGTCAATGCGGACTCACCGTTGGATCTTTTGACATTGTCTTAGAGGAGCGTTGCTTTCTTATTTGTTCAAAGACTCCGGCATCGACCGTTCTCGTTATTGAGCGCGCATCCGGAGCCGCGATGTTCGTCCTAATTGGATGCCGCATGTGTGGAAGGGAGCCTTTCACGTGTACCGGACACGAGGAGAACTTCATTGAGATTCTTCATTGCAGGAATAGGAACATTATGAAATGGCACGTTTGATGACATTTTGCCAGCAATGCATTTGAGCAGATTTGCACTTTTTAATGTGTTCGTCTTTTTTTGTGGGTGGTGGGGGGCAGGGTAAAAATGTCGGCAGATTATATTTGTTATCTTCAAGTAGATCCACAAAACACCTCAAGAAGTCATGTCCGAAAAGACACAAGACCGGGATGTTTGCCATCTTAGTTTGAATCTGGCAGTTCCTCAGTCATATGCCCGACTGCTAGAAAATTGGAATTTCGGACACCAGACAGACCAATGCGAACAAGTTTCGTTGGCAACGTTTGTTAATTCGTTATGAATCGCACACATTTGGGGAAAATTCTCATGAGTTCAGGAATTTGTTGTGATCCACGACAAGAGCCACATCAAACCTGCTTCTACTGAGACTCTAATGCTCAGTTTGAAAAACTCATTTCAAGCGTCTTTCTCCTAAATTGAAAAAAAAAAAAAAAATCCAAGTAAAAGTCATCATGAAAGTTTTTACACACAGCTGGAGTCCAATTGGATGTAGTCAAGCTTCCGCGCACCAATTCGGGATGACGGGGAGGTGTTGATGTGTTGCCAAGCTCTCACACTTTACGAAGCATCATTTTCTTTTTTGGCGGCGGCGGGAGGGGGGGGGGGGATTATAATGCCAATTTGAAATGTCGAACGACAAGGCGTACGTACGAATAGTGATGATTCTTGTCGATGTTTTATAAATAAAGATGGCTTGCGCTGTGTCAGTGAAGCCACACTTATCCAACGCTATCCGTCATGAATACGAGGCGCCATGATCGTCGTCCTTTTGTCATGGAAATGCATACATGCATATTATGTACGGCTATCCGTGTGCGCCTGTCTGTGTCACAACTATTCCCTCCCCATGCATCCATTACGAAGTACGGCGTTATGATAGGCTGTATTCCCGCGAGCTTTTACAGCCCAATCAATTTGCAAAGCTCTTAAGGACGACTCGCTTTTGCTTGTCCTTAAGGGGCCACAATTTGAATTAAAAGTCCCCTCAAAATACAATTCAATAAAACTCTCTTGGGGATGGGGGGGGGGTGAATATTAAAATACACTCACTCATTCGGATGTTTAATTTTCCCCCTCTCTTCCTGTTTCCACATAGCAATAAGTTGCGCAAGATTCATAAGCGAGTGAATAACGCGGGGCCCGCCGTAAATCTCCATAATGCGGGCAGCCTTCAACTACCGTACAGATAAGACAGAAACAACAAAAGCCATTAAGGAAAACATTGAAAAATACATCTGAATTTTTTATGTCAAATAGTCTTTTTACGTAGTATTTAAA